GCCCTTCCCGGATCTCTACCCGCGATAGGAGGCTTTCTGGTCGCCCCCGTCTCGCCAGGCGTCGAAGTGACGTGCCCAAGAGCCCACCGCTAAACCCAGACCGCCGCCTCGCCCCTCCTGGGCGCGCTGCTCCCAGAGTCGCCAGGTCTGCGCAGCCCCCACCCCGCTGGAACGCTCCCGCAGAGGGGCGCCAAAGTGGTTACTGGCCCCGAGGGCGCCACGAGGGGTCGCGAGGGTGGGTTCGGCCCCCACCAGGTCACCACTTCCGCCTGCCCCGCTCGCGGAAGTACTGGTGGCAGGAATTTCATCTGGAAGTAACACAGGTCCCTGCTGGCCGGAGGGGCAGCCGCCACACTTGGGGAGGGGAGATCTCGGTCCTGACGGCCACTGCCTTCAAGGCTCCGCGACTCAACATTCCGTCCAGCCCAGCCAGGCGCTTCCTGACCTGCTCCCCTTCCCAGGGGTGGGGCTGGCGAGAGGGGCTGCAGGTGGGCTGTCCTACACCTGTAAGAGTTTCCTGTAGCTCTTGTGAATGAGCCACTTGGTGACCAAGCGGCAGGACAGACCTGGCTGGGCTCTGCCAGGGCTGCTGCTCCCTGGGCGTCAGGAGGAACCGAAGGGACCTACTGTTTCCAAACTGCTTCCTGCAGGCAGGGGCAGGCAGGGTGCGTGGGGAGACAGGCCCATATCCTATATCCTAGGGTGAGACTGGCCTCGGCACACGAAGTTTGGGGTCGAGTGAGTTCTGCAGAGGCGGTTTGGTGCCTGTTAAGGATGCTGCTGGACAGGCGGGAGGTACCTCCTCAGCGGGTTGGGCAGGTTGTCCGGTCGATTCCTGAGGTGGCCAGCAGAGGGCAGAAGAGGCGGGCCGGCCCTGCTCTGAGGGAGCCAGGTGCGTGGCTGGCTGGAAGGCCTTCTCCCCAACCCGTTTCCTGACTTGCAAATGGGAGTGGTCTGCTCTGCGATGTCCCGTGTCGAGGCACATAGAAGGCGCCCCCTAAACTTAAGGGTAGACCTTGAGGTTGCAGCTTCTGGCTCCTAGCTCCTTTGAAGTAGGAGGCAGGGCAGCCTGGGCACAAGCCCCCACCCACCCCACCTTGCCTCCTGAGGACACTTCCTTCTCCCAGGTCAGGACTGGGGCTAGGTCAGGGACGGAAGTCACTGGCAGGCCTTTCCCACAAGCCCCTGCCAAATGGGGGGGAGGGGGCAGCTTCCTGCTTTGACTTGCTGCCTGGCCTCCCCTCACCCCCCTCACCCCCAGGGCAGGAGTGAGTCCCCAGCTGCTGTCACAGGGGCTCAGCCTGTTGAGGCCATTTTAGCAACCCCCAGAAACTCATCACCATCCTCTCTTCTCACCCCGCAGGCTGCCGGCTGGCCAGGGGGGCGTCCCTGGCTGCAGAAGTGTCCTCAGTGCCCCCTCCCTGCCCATGCTGCCAGCAGCCACCTGACAGAGGGACATGTCGCAAAGACGACCCAGCCTGAGAATGAAATCCCAACTGCAGAAGCGTCCTCAGTGCCCCCTCCCTGCCCACGCTGCCAGCAGCCACCTGACAGAGGGACTCCCACGTCGCAAAGACGACCCAGCCTGAGAATGAAATCCCAGGGCCTTTGAGAGGAGGCACCTTCGACCCTCCCCCCCAAGCCAGGTATCTGACTTTGCACCCTGCCGTTTACCCACTTGGCCTTTTGGGGGTCAGAGAAGACTCCGATACATTGCCATATGGCGGGGCCGAAGGAACAGGGTAGGAGGGAACGGGCAAGAGGGCGCGGGGAGGGCGTCTCAGGTGGAGAGAACCAGACTGAGTCGGAGCAGGCTGATCCGGTCAGGACAAGGAGGCCTGTGTGTCCGGGATGGCCAGACCAGATGGTGGGGGCAGGGGTGAGCTGAGTGCAGCCCTGTGCCTCGCAGCCTTGACACGTGCCATTCTGGTCCTTTGTTTCTTTATTATTGATGGCTCCTCCCCAAGAAGACTGCAGGCTGCAAACAGCCCAGAACAAGCTGGCCCACTCTGCACGGTGCCAGCCCGCACAGGTCTGCAGGCTGGCACTCTGGAACCCTGGGCGGAGGGGGTGACGTGCCTGCCCACCCTGGGCCAGGGGACCTTGGGTACAGAGGAGGCTCCAGAGCCCGGGTTTTACCCCCCACAAACCACAGGGTGGCAGCTCTCCAGCCCTAAGGGCCCTGCTTCCAGTTTGTCTCAGCCCCACATCCACATGTCCCCACATCAAGGGGACAGCCTTGACCCCCGCCTCCCAAGATTTGATCAAGGTGGGAAAGGAGGGCCTTAGCAGTCTCTTATCGTCAATTGGCCTCAGCAACAGCACCCCCAACGATTCCCAAATGTCTGTTCCAGCGCCCAGCAGCCTCCTCCTCCAGGCAGCTGGCCCAGACCAGCCCGCTCCTCCCTCATCCTTAGCCTCAGATCCCAGCCTCCATGTTAGGCCGAGCGTCGCCTGCAGGGGCCGGATGCCCGGTGGTTTGATTTCAACACCCAGCTGTTCACACACACCACCAGCTCCCAGCCATCCTCTGCTGCCTCCTCTGCCCACAGGGCTCAGGCCTGGAACCAGCCCTGGAGGTCCTCGTAGACCTGGTTGCGGGGCAGGTGGGGGTAGCGGGCGCAGATGGCACAGAAGCGCTCTCGCCAGTCACCTACCAGCCTCACGCGGAGCCGGTCGCGCCAGGCGAAGTAGCGCCGGTACTGGCTCTCGTTCATGCCGGCGAGGAAGGCAGCCAGCTCTCGGGCCGAGCCGAAGTCGTCCACATGTACAAAGGCGTCAGGAGGCGCGAAGGCCTCGTAGGTGGCCCTCGGGGGCCCCAGCACCACCGGCACGGCGCCGGCCGCCAGCGCGTTGCGCCAGAACTTTTCGGTGATGTAGTCTCGGTGCTGCGAGTTCTCGAAGGCCAGGTAGAAGAGGTACCGGGCCACGGTGGGCAGCAGGCAGTCGGCGCACAGTGGCCGCCTGTTGGCGCGGCCGAACACGTCCACCTGCAGGTGGGGCGCCAGCTGCCGGTACAGCTGCACGCGCCGCTGCTGCGCCCGGAAGTTGCTGACCACCCAGGCGGCCACCCCATTCTTGGCCGGCAGCGGCGGCGCGGGCCCCTCGCCGGGCTCCAGGTGGCCGTAGGGCACGAAGATGTCCGAGTCGCGCCGGTAGCTCAGCACCCAGTTGAAGACGCCGCCGAGGTGGCCGAGGCCGTGAGTGTGGCTGGGCGACTCGAGGGAGGCCCACACCCAGGGCTGCCCGTCCGGCCGCTCGGCCAGGGGCAGGCGGGCCTGCCGCGTCTGCAGCTCGCGGTGGTGGAAGACCACGGCGTCGGCACTGGCCAGCAGGCCGCGGTCAGTGCTCAGGTGGCAGTGGGCCAGGCCGTAGCGGGTGCACGTGTTGCTGGGCAGCTCCGGGGCCCTGTTGGTGAAGGGCCAGTGCCAGATGAGGATGGTGAGTGTTGGCTGGGGTGCCGGGACTCCCCCAGGGGCCCACCAGAGTAGCCACAGGAGCCAGAGGACGGTGAGCAGGGCCACCCCGGCCAGGCCCCCCATGGCCCGGAGCTTCTGGCTGGAGCCACGCCCTACATGGGACACAGGAAGAGAGGCTGTCTCCTGAGGCTCCCCACAGCCCGTCCTCCCAGCCTGGGCCACCCTGGAACTCAGATACTCACCAGAGTTGTTCATGTACAGCTCCTGGAAGCCGTCAACCAAGAAACTTGAAGCTCTCAAATCACGGCAGCCACCAGGCAGAGGCGCCCTGAAATCACGGCAGTGCTGTGCTCGGCCTCCTCTGAGAGCGTCTTTCATCTGCCCAGGATGAGGGAAACCAAGGTGCCTTCCCGCTCCGCCCCCGCCCCCACCCCAGCTTGAACCTCCCGCCTCGCCCCGCCTCCCCCTAGTCCTCGGCTGCCAGGAGTGGAGGTTACAGGAGCCAAGCCGAGCCGAGCCAGCCCAAATCCGTGCCCCACCCCTCTGGCCTCTGGGCCACCGCAGGCGGCAGGACGGGGAGAGGGTCCCCTGTGGCTCAGGGCAGGGTGGGGGTGGCCCCCCCCGAAGGCTCGTGGAGGACTGGGGCCTGGGCCACCTGCGGGAAGCAGCTGAGCTGCTGTTGCACACCTCAGGGAGCCCCAGGCCAGAGCCACCCCCCTCGCTTCCCCCGCTCACCGCCGGTCCGGGGCTCCCGGCCTCTCCTGCTGCAGAGGTGCTGTGCTCAGCTCTTTGGCAGGAGGCTGGGGTTTCTCCCCGTTGCTTCTAACGGGGCCATCCCGCCCCATCCTCGCCCCTCGAGGACACCTGTTCCAGAACCCAGGGTCCAGAGAGGAGGTCCGTCCACAGTCCTAGGAGTGTCTGTCCGCACGAGGCCCTGCCACATGTCCACAGTGGGCAGCTCCAGGCTGGGGTTGGCCCCGGAGGGGGCTGCAGGGCCTTTTTCCTTGTCCGAGGACTCAGGTCCACAGCAGCCCCAGGCCAGGGGTAGGCCCAGCGTCCCGGCACAGAGCGGGGGATGGGAGGGCTGCTCTTGGGGGCCACAGGTCTCTTCCTCCGGGCCCCACAGCCCAGGACGAGGGTGGGGGCAGGGAGGGGGCTTTCCAGGCTGGAAAGGGAAGGAGTCCGAGAGTCCCTGACGCCTGACGCGGGCGGGCAGGGGGCTGGCACCCGCTCCAGGAAAAGGCAGGCTGAAGTCCGGAGTCCTTCTCCTCCCCCACCGTCGGGGCAGCCTGGGGGCCTAGGCCTGGAGGTCTAGTTCCTTCCCCTTTTGCTCCGCTTCCTCTGAGCTGGAGAGTGGCCAGCCAGCATGGCGAGACTTCCCTCAGCTCCGGCGGGCACCCCCTCTCAGCCCCGCTCATGCCCCCTGAGCTTTTTCGCCCCAGCAGACCCTTGCTTGGTCCCGGATGTGGCAAGCCGATCCCAGGCGTCATGCATGCCTACCACCCTGGAGGCCTCAGGCTGGTCAGGCTGTGGGAGGCTGTGGGCCAGATGTTGGAAAAGGAACAGCAACCAGAAACTGTTAGCCGAGTCTGCCTCCCATGCCACCCAGGGGCCTCCCTCTGCCCTGCCGGCCCCACCTGCTCCACGCTCAGGCTCCCAGGGCTGCTGGCCTCCCCCAGCTCCCGCTCCCAGTGAGGACCAGACTGCCTCCAGGGTGGGAACCGGGCAGCTTGCAGCAGACCCATGGGGGACACAGAGGCAAGTCCAGGAGAGGGGTACAATTTGGCCCCTCTGAGGCTCCCCACCCCTGAAGAAGCTCCGAGCTGCGGTGGGGCCTTGTGCAATATCGAAGGAGGGGTGGGAGGGCTGTGGGGTACGTCGGAAGCCAGCGGCAGACCCAAGGTGTGGATGCAGCGGCCAGGCCTGGCTGCCCACTGGCCAGCCCCAGGGCCTGACCAGGCAGGTAACTGTCACCAGCCCCCACCCTTTCAGGAAATGAGCACAGTGGCACTAGGGTTTTGGCCCCACCCTGGCATCTCTTCCCTGGCAGGGGACCCTAGATGAGCCACGCCCTGCTCTGAGCACCCACCTCCTGTCCGTGCGGTAGGCATGCGATGGGCGGTGGGGCCACGCAGGAAGGAGCTGATCCTGCCGCAGCCCACTAGCGACCTGGCTTCTGGCTGCCAGCACCTCTGCCCTTCCTGTTTGCATGGCCAGGGTGGCCCAGGTCCCTGCTACAGCCTCACCCACACCCACAGCCTACTCCCCTCTGGGTTGATCTGACAGAGCCTCCCCGCCTCCACCCTGGTCGCCCAGCACGGCCTGCCCGCTTGCGCGGGCAGCCACAGGGCCAGCCCTGCTGGCTGGGAAACACGGCTCTGAGGTTTAGCCCAGAAGTGGCTTAGAATGAGCGGTTCTCAGAGGACGTGAGTCAAAGGGAAAGTGGGGCCTCATCCTGCTGCCTCATCCCCAGGCCTCGTAACTCACCGGGATGCAGGTGGGCACCCCCCTCAACAGCCCCTGGGCATCTCAGAACCTGAGCCCTCTGGCCTGCTCCAGGGCCGGCCTCCCAGTGGGTACCAATCAAAGCTAAAGCGAGGGGGCTCTGCCTGGACGGAGGGAGGGCAGCTAGCTCCGACCGCTGCGCCCTTGCAGACCACGGCACCTGGGGCAGTGGGAAGGGAGGCCGCCCGCCCCAGACCAAAGGATGCGTCAGGAAGAGAGGGCCAGAGCCTAGCTGCCCACTGCCCGCTCCAGGGGTTGGCCCGGGGAGGGCAAAGTCCAGACAGTGCCCCAGGGGCCCCCTGCTGGCCCTGCTGCAAAGCCACCTGGCTCCGGAGAGCGGAGGCAGCAGAGGGAGCCAGAGCGCAGTTTATTCTCAGCAAGAGGGCGGGGCGGGGTTCACGGTACCCCTTTGGGAAGATGGGTGCACAGAGGCTGGCAGGTGGTCAAGGGCGCCCCCAGGTTGGGGTGCAGTCGAGGGGGCAGCATTAGGATGCTGTCAGGGATCAGTCTCAGCAGACGGTGGGAGCGGCTGGACCACCTCGAGGGCACAGGTGTGTCTGCAGCCAGCCAGCCCCAACTCTTTTCATCCTGCCAGGCTGGGGGTGCACCCGCATCCGTGCCGGGAGGAGCTCTGGCTCTGCTGCGGGCTCCCCCAGGGACCTACGCACCGTGCTCCCGCCCCTGTGTTTGGCTCACCCCTTCTATCCTGCGGTGAGACCCAAGCCCCACTCCTGTGCTGCACCCTGGGAGAAGGCTCACACCCTCACAGGATTGGGGTTTCCAGTCCCATGGAGCCAGGACCACCCACAACAGCCCAGGACCTGTGGTAGGAAGAGGGGCACAGGAGTTGAGGCAAAAGCAGGGGTTGGCTCCGCCTGAGCGAGCCTGGGGCTAACGGGAGCCACGGAAGCCAGGCGGGCAGTGGGGTGCCACACTCCCAGGAGGACCCCAGCCCCGTCCTCCTTTTCCTGGCCCTGCCCTGCCGGCTCCTCTCTCACTGCAGCTGCCACTGGAAGGGGCACCCTCTTCACTGAGGCCCTGGGGAGTGGGCGACAGGGTCTCCAGACACAGGATGGGGACCCCCGAGAAGATAGAAAAGACAGGACACACCAGGTGGCCGCTTTCTACCGTGGTCAGGCCAGCAGGAAGTTGGAAAGGTGTCAGGACCTTAGGGACTGAGCCCGGAGCTCCAGGCTCTGGGTCTGCGGTGTCAGGCCAGCGAGAGACGGGCCTGGCCCAGACCCGGTGGGGTGGCCGGCCCCTCGCGCCGGCGAGTGGGGCCTTAACCTCTCTGCTCGTTTTCTCTGCTGCTGCGTCTACTGGCACAGGTGACGGCGACCTGTGATCCTCATCGCTCTGCCCTCATCCCACATGGGTCCCTGGTCCTCTGCACCGCCTCCTTCCGCCTCCCACAACCGTGCCTGAAGGAAAACAGGCCCCAGCACAGGAGGGGCGGGGGCGGGGCTTTCCCGCCCGGGTGGGCTCTGGCCACCGAACGGAGCTGCTTTATGACAAGCCTTTAGCTCCCAGCAGGGCCAAGCCCAACCCCACCTGTCTCTCCTCAGGGACGGGTCTGTCCCACTGGGGCTGCCCCCATCATCCAAGAGCCAGAGGTCCAGCATTCTCTGGAACCCTGCCCCAGGGAACAGAGGGGCTTTCGAACCCAATGCTATGTGCACCCCAGTCTCAGTGGGGCACAGGTCCAGTGGGGCCTCACCCCAGAAACCCCTTCCCCAGGCCCACTCTTAGCTTCTCTGGCCACACCATGTGGCCCGCCACCCCCACCCCTGGGCCTTCAGCTGAAGGTCGCCCTCCCCATGCCTCCTTGCTCAAGGGGAAGAGGGGGTTGGCATGGGCCGAGACCTTGCTCCTGACTTCTGGAGTCCCTGCCATCTCTCTCCCCTCACCCGACCCACCTGGTGCACCCGCTTGTGTCCCTTGGGTCCATCTGCCCAGCAGCCCCGCCCCCCTGAAATGCTGCCGGGGCCCAAGGGCCCGTGTGGTCCCTGGAACGAAGCCACACTCAAGGCCTGCATCCTGTTTCTCCCGCTTTCCGGCAACGTGCAGACACGGAGGCGTTGGGTGCCCACTGCCAGGTGTCTGTGGCTTCCGCTACCCAGTCCCTTTATCATACGTGGGACGGGGTCTTCCAGCACGTGGCACCAACTCCACATGAGTTCAGTCCTGTACTGCACCCCTCCCCTACCCCAATGGGGCAGAAGTGTCAGTAGGGGTGAAGCCTGAAGGAAGAGGAGGGTGGGGGTGAAGCCTGGAGGAGGAGGGTGGGGGCGAAGCCTGGAGGAGGTGGCGGTGGTCCTGTGTCTGGGACACTGAGGCCTCCCTGCCCTAGCAGGGCACAGAGCACCCTCTCTCTGGGCTGTGGCTAGAAGCCTCAAGTCCCCACTCCAAGCAGCACCCACCATGGCCCCAAAGGCGGAGCAGGGGCCCAGTCTCCAGCACGACCCCCACGCTGATTCGAAACGTGCTCTAGTCCGTCTCCGCCGCTTGTTTCCAGCACCCCCATCCACGCCCGGTCTCTACCACTCTCCTCATTCCCTCCTTTGGGGGTACAGACCAGAAAGGACAGGTACAAGGGGAAGCAGAGGTCCCCTGTTCCCCCCAAAGGGGTGCCCGGCCACAAGCACAGCGAGCGTCAGAACGCAGTCTCTTTATTGGGAAACGCAGGTCCCTGCCCCGCCCCCGCCGGGCGGCGTGGTGCTCGCGAGGGCAGGCGTGGGTCTCAGGTCACTGCGGCGGGGGTGGCAGGGGCACGGACAGCGAGGAGTGCTCGAACAGCGGGTTCCGCACCTCCATCTCTCCCGTCTGCGAAGGCAGGCTTTAGATGAGCGGGGGAGGGGACCCCAGGATCCGGTCGGACCCCCGCCCTGCACCGCGGCACTCACCGGGGCCAGGCCCGGGCACTCGTACACCGTGAAGTCGCCGTCCTCGTTCTCTTCGTCTGAGGCGGAGTCTAGCTCCTTGGGCGGCTCTGAATGCCTGCTAGGGGCGGGATGGCTGGATCCCCCTACGCCCTTCAGGTGCCAGGGGCCCAGGCTGGAAGTGGGCGCTCGGCGCACCCCGGCAGAGCCAGGGTGGGGGCGGCG